GGGGGGGGGGGGGCCCCGGGAGGGGGGGTTTGGGGGGGCCCAGGGGGGGGGAAAGGGGGGGGGGGGAAAAGGGGAATTTGGGGGTTTTGGGGGGAAAAGGGGGGGGGGGGGTTAAAGAGGGGGGGGAAAAAGGGGGGGAAAAAGGGGGGGGGGAAAGGGGGGGGTTTTGGGGGGGGGGGTAAAAAATTTAGGGGAAAAAGAGGGGGGGGGGGGGGAAAAAAAAGGGGGGAGGGGGGGGGAAAAAAAGGGGGGGGGGGGGAAAAAAAAAAAAAGGGGGGGGCCCCAAAAGGGGGAAAAAGGGGGGGGGGGGGGAAAAAAAAAAAGGGGGGGGGGGGGGAAATTAAAGGGGGGGTTTTAAGGGGGGGGAAAAGGGGGGGGGGGAAAAAAAAAATTTTAAGGGGGGGGGGGAAAAAAAACCCCCCGGGGGGAAGGGGGGGGGGGGGGAAGGGGGGGGAAAGGGGGGGGAAAAAAAAAGGGGGGGGGGGTTTAAGGGGGGAAGGGGGGGGGGGGGTTTTTTTTTGGGGGGGGTTTAGAGGGGGGGGGGGAAGAGGGGGGGAGGGGGAGGGGGGGGGGGGGGGGTTTAAGGGGGAGGGGGGGGGGGGGGCCCCGGAAAAAAGGGGTTTTTTTAAAAGGGGGGGAAAAAGGGGGGGGGAAAAAGGGGGAAAAAAAAAATTTTAAAAAATTTAAAAAACCCCTTTTTTTTTAAAAATTTAAAAAAAAAAAAAAAACCCGGTTTTTAAAAAAAAAAAATTTTTTAAGAAAAAAAAAAAATTTTTTAATTTAAAAGGGGGCCCCCAAGAGTTTCGGGGGGGGGTTTTCCTTTCCGGGCCCTTTTTTAAAAATTTTTTTTTTAAAAACAAAAAGGGGTTTACCGGGTTTTTCCCCCCAAATTTTTGACCCCCCAAAAAAATTTTTTTTTAAAAAAATTTCCAAAAAATTTTTTTGGGGAAAGCGGGTTTTGGGGCCCCCAAAGGGGGAAAAAAAGAGTTTAGGGAAACCCCCCAAAAATTTAAAAATTTAAAGAAATTTAAAAAAACCGGGAAAAAAAAATTTAAAAAGGGTTTTTTTTTTTCCCCCCCCTTTTTTTGGGGGCCAGGGGGCCCAAGTTTAAAGGGCCCCAAAAAAAAAAAAAAAAAAAGGGGGGGGGAAAAAAAAAAATTTAAAAAATTCCCAAAAAAAAGGGGGCCCCCCTTTTCCCCCCCCCCCCCCCCAAATTTCCCCGGCCCTTAAACCCCCAACCCCCCCCCAAGCCCCCAAAAAAAAAGGGGGGAAAAAAGAAAAAAAAAAAACCCCCCCCCCAAAAGGGCCCCGGGGGCCCAGCCCCCCCGGGGTTTTAAAAAAAAAAAGGGGGGGAAAACCAAAACAAACCCCAAAAAAAAAACCCCCGGGGGGAAAGTTTTTTTTAAAAAAAAAAAAAACCCCCAAAAGGGGGAAAAATTGGGGTTTTAAGAAAAAAATTTCAAAAAAAAAAAAGGGGGGGGAAAAAGGGGGGCCCCCAAAGGGGGAAACCCAATTTTTTTAAAATTTTTAACCAAAAAAAAAAAACCCAAAGGGGCCAACCCGGGGTTTGGGGGAAAATTTAAAATTTTTAAAACCGGGCCAAAACCTTTTGGGGGCCCCCCCAAAAAAAAAAAAACCCCCCCCCCCTTTAAAAAGGGGGGAAAAAGGGTTTTTTTTTAAAAAATTTTAAAAAGTTTGGGGTTTTTTTTAAAAAAAGGGGGGTTTTTTTTTTTTGGGGGGGGGGTTTTTAAGAAAAAAAAATTTTTAAAAAAATTTTTTGGGGGAAAACCGGGTTTTTCCAATTTTAAAAAAAAAACCCCGGGGGGGAAAAATTTTTAAGACCCGGGGGGTTTTGGGGGTTTAAGCCGGGAAAAATTTTTTTCCCCCGGGGGAAAATTAAATTTTTTTTAAAAACCCCCCAAAAAAAAAAGGGGGGAAAGGGGGGGGGGGAAAAAACTGGGGGTTTTTGGGGGCCCCCCAAAAAGGGAAAAAGGGGGGGCCAAAAAATTTTTCCGGGAAAAAACCCCCCTTTTTTTTTAAAATTTTGGGGAAAAAAAAAACCCCCTTTTTTTAAAGCCAAATAATTTGGGGTTTTTTTTGGGGGGAAAAATTGGGTTTTCCAAAAGTTTGGGGGGCCCCCAAAAAAAAAAAGGGGGTTTCGACCCAAAAATTTCCAAAAAAAGGGGGGAAAATTTTTGGGGGCCCCCTTTTTGGGGAAAAAAAAAAAGGGGGGCCCCCAAAAAAAAAAAAAAAAACCCCCCCAAAAAACCCCCCCCCAAAAAAACCCAAAAAATTTTTTTCCCCCCCCCCTTTTTTCCCCCAATTTTTTGGGGGAAACCCCCCCGTTTGGGGTTTCCCAACCAAAAAGTTTTTCCCCAAAATTTTCCCAAATTTAAGGGAAAAAAAATTTAAAAATTTAAAATTTGAGAAGAAATTTTTTTTTAAAAAAAAAAAAGGGGGGGGGTTTGGGGGCCCCCCCCGGGGTTTTTAAAAGGGAAACCCCAAAATTTTAAGAGCCCCCTTTTTGGGCCCCTTTAAAAGGGGAAAAAGGGGTTTAAAATTCCCCGGGGGTTTTCCTTTAAAAAAAGGGGGGGCCTCCCCCCCCCAAAAAAAAAACCTTTTTAGAGCCTTTTTTGGGGGCCCCAAAACCCTTTTTTTTAAAATTTGGGGGAAAAAAAAAAAAAATTTGGGGGGGGAAAAGGGGTTTTCCAAAAAAGGGGTTTTAAACCTTTATTAAAAAAAAATTTTTTTTTTTTAAAAAAAAAAAAAATTTTTTGGGGTTTTCCCCCAAAAAAACCCAAAAAAACCTTTAAAAGGGTTTTTAAGACCCAAAAATTTCCCCCCCCCCTTTTTTTAAAAAGGGGTTTGGAAAAACCCCTTTAAACCCCCCGGGTTTTTAAGGGGGAAAACCCAACCGGGGGCCCCCCCCTTTTTTTAAAAAAAAAAAACCCAAAAACCTTAAAAGTTTCCAAAAAAGGGGGCCCCCAAAAATTTTAAGGGGGGAAAAGTGGGGTTAAGGGGCAAAACCCCCCTTTGGGGTTTTAAAAATTTAACGGGGTTTTAAAAAACCCCCAAAAAGGGGGAAAAGAAAAATTTTTAAAAAGGGGAAAAAATTTTGGGCCCAGGGGGGTTTTTTTCCCCCCCCCCAAAAAAAAAAAAGGGGGGGGAAAAAAAAAAAAAAAAAAAATTTTTTTTTTTTGGTTTAACCAAGATTTTAAAAAAAACCCCTTTTTTACCGGGCTTTAAATTTTTTTTCCCCCCTTTTTTTTCCCCCTTTTCCCCTTTCCCCCCCCCTTTTTTTTCCCCCCCCCTTTTTTTTTTTTTGGGGCCCCCAAAAAAGGGGACCCCCGGGGTTTTGGGAATTCCCGGAAAGAAAAAAAAAAAGGGGGGCCCCCCCCAAATTTTAAAAGTTTGGGGCCCCAAAAATTTTAAAAAAAAACCCGGGGGAAAAATTTAAAATTTGGGGTTTGGGGTTTTAAAAAAAAGGGGGGTTTTTGGCCAAATAGAGATTTAGAGCCAGTACTCAAGAGCTTTAGACAGAGTACTCAAGAGCCATTACTCAAAGCTTTAGAGCCAGTACTCAGAGCTTTAGAGCCAGTACTCAGAGCTTTAGATCCAGTACTCAGAGCTTTAGAGCCAGTACTCAAGAGCTTTAGAGCCAGTACTCAAGAGCTTTAGAGCCAGTACTCAAGAGCTTTAGAGCCAGTACTCAAGAGCTTTAGAGCCAGTACTCAGAGCTTTAGAGCCAGTACTCAAGAGCCATTACTCAAAGCTTTAGAGACAGTACTCAGAGCTTTAGAGCCAGTACTCAGAGCTTTAGAGCCAGTACTCAAGAGCTTTAGACAGAGTACTCAAGAGCTTTCGAGCAAGCACTCAAGAGCTTTAGACAGTACTCAGAGCTTTAGAGCTAGTACTCAAGAGCTTTAGAGCCAGTAATCAAGAGCTTTAGAGCCAGTAATCAAGAGCTTTAGAGCCAGTTTTCAGAGCTTTAGAGCCAGTACTCAAGTGCCAGTACTCAGAGCTTTAGAGCCAGTACTCAGAGCTTTAGAGCCAGTACTCAGGGCTTTAGAGCCAGTACTCAGTGCTTTAGAGCCAGTAATCAAGAGCTTTAGAGCCAGTACTCAGAGTATTAGAGCCAGTACTCAAGAGCCAGTACTCAAAGCTTTAGAGCCAGTACTCAGAGCTTTAGAGACAGTACTCAAGAGCTTTAGAGACAGTACTCAAGAGCTTTAGAGACAGTACTCAAGAGCTTTAGAGACAGTACTCAAGAGCTTTAGAGCCAGTACCCAAGAGCTTTAGAGCCAGTACCCAAGAGCTTTAGAGCCAGTACTCAGAGCTTTAGAGACAGTACTCAGAGCTTTAGCCAGTACTCAGAGCTTTAGAGACAGTACTCAAGAGCTTTAGAGCCAGTACTCAAGAGCTTTGGAGACAGTAAGAGCTTTAGAGCCATTCCTCAAGAGCTTTAGAGACAGTACTCAAGAGCCAGTACTTAGAGCTTTAGAGCCAGTACTCAGAGCAAGAATGTGTGTGTTTGTGTGTAGTGTGTGTGTGTAGTGTGTGTGTGTAGTGTGTGCAGCACAATCCCAGAGAGGTGCTAAGGCGGCAGAATTTGTATCAATAACGAAGAAATCCACTCCTGAGCCGCAGGAGTGAGAGAGAGGGACTGCGTGAGCGAGCGAGAGAGATGTGTTATGACCCAGGAAACCATTTACAGCAGCCCAATAGAGAAAGCAGAAGCACGCTCCATTCATATAAACCAATAGACAAACACATAACGTAAAAGTCAGCTAAGTAGATGATCCCATATGAAGTCATCATCTATAGAAGTAGTAGCTGTGGAGGAGCGAGAGAGGGACTGAGAGAATCTGTCCACACCAAAAGGCTGCGAATGTGTGATTGTGTGCACATGTAATTTAAATCATTATTTCTCTAAGTACCTCACCTAGTTTTCCCTGTTTTGATTGGAAAGTAAGAACCTTAACAGTCTATGCCTCACCTCTCTCACAGTAAGGTTCTCCCTCCTCCATATAGAAGGCCTGGTTCCGGATGGGGCTCTTACAGGCAGCACACATGAAACACTGGACATGGTAGGTCATCTTCAGAGCATGCATGATCTCCTACACAGAGGAAGGAAGGAAGGAAGGAAGGAAGGAAGGAAGGAAGGAAGGAAGGAAGGAAGGAAGGAAGGAAGGTGGTCAGTCCTCAGCTTACATCCTGTCCTGCTAAACTAGCTTGTGGTCCACATTCCACATTCCTCTCGTCTTTTTTTTATTTAAAATCCCAGCCCCCGTCCCCACAGGAGGCCTCTTGCCTCTTGGTAGGCCATCATTGTAAATAAGAATTTGTTCTTAATTGACTTGCCTAGTTGGCTGGGGTTTTCCGTGCATCGGCAAGACAGAACAGCTACCTCCGGTAAGACATGGGGTGGTGGTCTGTGTCTATTTGTCAATAACAGCTGGTGCGCGAAATCTAATATTAAAGAAGTCTCTAGGTTTTGCTCACCTGGGGTAGAGTACCTCATGATAAGCTGTAGACCACACTATTTACCAAGAGAGTTTTCATCTATATTTTTTGTAGCTGTCTATTTACCACCACAAACCGATGCTGGCACTAAGACCGTACTCAGCGAGCCGTATAAGGCCATAAGCAAACAAAAGAAAGCTCATCCAGAGGCGGCGCTCCTAGTGGCCGGGGGCTTTAATGCAAGGAAACGTAAATCCGTTTGACCTAATTTCTCCAAGCATGTCACATGTACAACCAGAGAGAAAAAAAAACTCTAGACCACCTTTACTCCACACACAGAGACGCGTACAAAGCTCTTCCTCGCCCTCCATTTGGAAAATCTGACCATAATTCTATCCCCATGATTCCTGCTTACAAGCTAAAACTAAAGCAGGAAGCACCATAATAATATAATATGCCATTTAGCAGACGCTTTTATCCAAAGCGACTTACAGTCATGTGCGCAACCATTGACTCGGTCAATAAAAAAGTGGTCAGATGAAGCAGATGCTAAGCTACAGGACTGTTTTGCTAGCACAGACTGGAATATGTTCCGGGATTAGTCACCTGGCTTCATCAATAAGTGCATCGATGACGTCGTCCCCACAGTGACCATACGTACATACCCCAACCAGAAGCCATGGATTACAGGCAACATCCGCACTGAGCTAAAGGGTAGAGCTGCTGCTTTCAAGGACACTAACCCGCTATGCCCCCTGCTATGCCCTCCAACAAACCATCAAACAGGCAAAGCGTCAATACAGGACTAAGATTGAATCCTACTACACCAGCTCTGACGCTCGTCGATGTGGCAGGGCTTGCAAACTATTATGGACTACAAAGGAAAGCCCAGCCGAGAGCTGACCAGTGACACGAACCTACCAGATGAGATAAATGACTTCCATGTGCGCTTCGAGGCAAGCAACAGTGAAGCATGCATGAGGGCACCAGCTGTTCCGGACGATTGTGTGATCACGCTCTTCGTAGCCGATGTGAGTAAGACCTTTAAACATTCACAAGGCCGCGGGGCCAGATGGATTACCAGGACGCGTACTCAGAGCATGCGCTGACCAACAGGCAAGTGTCTTCACTGACATTTCAACCTCTCCCTGACCCTGTCTGTAATCACTACATGTTTCAAGCAACCTGTCTAAATGACTACCGACCCGTAGCACTTACATCTGAAACCATAAAATGCCTTGAAAGGCTGGTCATGACTCACATCAACACCATCATCCCGGAAACCCTAGACCCACTCCAATTCACATACCACCCCAACAGATCCACAGATGACGCAATCTCTATTGCACTCCACACTGCCCTTTCCCACCTGGACAAAAGGAACACCTACGTGACAATGCTATTCATTGACTACAGCTCAGTGTTCAACACCATAGTGCCCACAAAGCTCATCACTGGATCCTGGACTTCCTGACGGGCCACCCCCAGGTGGTAAGGGTAGGCAACAACACATCCGCCACGCTGATCCTCAACACTGGGGGCCCCTCAGGGGTGCGTGCTCAGTCCCCTCCTGTACTCCCTGTTCACCCATGACTGCATGGCCAGGCACGACTCCAACACCATCATTAAGTTTGCTGACGACCCAACGGTGGTAGGCCTGATCACCGACAACGATGAGTCAGCCTATAGGGAGGAGGTCAGAGACCTGGCCGTGTGGTGCCAGGATAACAACCTCTCCCTCAACGTGATCAAAGGAGCTGATCGTGGGCTACAGGAAATGTAGGGCAGAGCACGCTCCCATTCACATCGACGGGGCTGTAGTGGAGCAGGTCGAGAGCTTCAAGTTCATTGTTGTCCACATCACCAATAAACTATCATGGTCCAAACACACTAAGACAGTCGTGAAGAGGGCACGACAATGCCTGTTCTCCATCAGGAGACTGAAAAGATTTTGCATGGGTCCTCAGATCCTCAAAAAGTTATACAGCTGCACCATCGAGAGCATCCTGACTGGTTGCATCCCCGCCTGATATGGCAAATGCTCGGCATCTGACCGCAAGGCGCTACAGAGGGTAGTGCGTACGGCCCAGTACATCACTGGGGCCAAGCTTCCTGCCATCAGAGGAAGGCCCTAAAAATGGTCAAAGACTCCAGCCATCCTAGTCATAGACTGTTCTCTCTGCTACCGGACGTTAAGCAGTACCGGAGCGCCAAGTCTAGGTCCAAAAGGCTCCTTAACAGCTTCTACCCCCAAGCCATTAGACTGCTGAACAGCTAATAAAATGGTCACCCGGACAATTTGCATTGCCCCTCCCTTTTTTTTTTTTACACTGCTGCTACTCTGTTTATTATCTATGCATGGTCACTTTACCCCTACCTACATGTACATATTACCTCAACTAACCTGTACCCCGCACATTGACTCGGTACCGGTACCCCCTGTATATAGCCTCACTACTGTTATTTTGTGTGACTTTTTTTTAAACTGCATTGTTGGTTAAGGGCTTGTAAGTAAGCATTTCACAGTAAGGTCTACACCTGTTGTATTCGGCAAATGTGACAAATAAAATTGTATTTGATTTGAAATAAAGGTTAAATAAAAACTTTTAAAAAAGTATTATCATGGACGATGCAGACAGACACAGTAGCGCTCTTACCCCTATGATCTTCTTCTTGCATTTGGCACAGTTGGGAGCGTAGCGGTTATCATAACACTTGGTGCAGAAGACTGAGCCCCGCTCCTCAAAGAATCCTCCCTCATCCAACACCACCTTACACTGGGAACACCAGAACTCTTCTGGGTGCCAGGACTGACCCAGCGCCACCAGGTACCGGCCCCTAGACAGACAGACAGAGACAGAGACAGACAGACAGACAGACACAGACAGACAGACAGACACAAAGTAAACACCAGTTAGATAAGCCTAGCTGGGAGTAACAGGGTATCTACTGTAGCTCTCTGTAATGGAGCATCGTGATCCTACCATCACTGGCATGACTTACTGGATGAATCCACTTAACTGTTCAGATGGTGTCAGGTCGTTCCAGTTCAGGAGAGAACGGGTTATTCTCTAAAGAATAACGATGAGGATATATAAAGACCAAGAGTGTTCCCTGGTCAGGTCACATGGTCAGGGAAAACATGGCCTAGCAGTTCAATGAAATTAATCCAGTCTATTATGAAATGATAGTCTATGGAGTTTATCCTCTATACTTTTTAATGTAGGACTCATGTAGGAACAGCAGTTGCTATATTGGCCCCGATATGCGTCCACTTTTTTATTCAGGTTTTTTTTTTAATGTAATGCAATATATAAGGAATTGGGTGACATTTCAGGCTTGGCTGCCTCTAGTGTTTATAGATATAACAGACAGGGGGCAGTATTAAATAAAAGCCTTGCAGTTATTCACATAACAGACAGGGGGCAGTATTAAATAAAAGCCTTGCAGTTATTCACATAACAGACAGGGGGCAGTATTGAATAAAAGCCTTGCAGTTATTCACATAACAGACAGGGGGCAGTATTAAATAAAAGCCTTGCAGTTATTCACATAACAGACAGGGGGCAGTAGTAAAGATTCAAGCCCCTTGGTTGCTGCCATAGATTTACATTAGAAGTGCCCATCCAAGAAGGCTCGAGGTCATTGGCCACAGATAAAATGACGTCAAATCACCTTATATCTACCGTAGCTTTGATTGGACTGATCATGTCATCATCATACTTCCAAAATCTTAGCTAGCAAGCTAGTCAAGCACTCATCATCATGAATCAAGTCGACAATCTCCTGGCAAATACTTTTCAATCCTTGTCATTTGAAGATAAATTATATATAAAACGTATAGGTGCTCACTGGACATAAACATTACACAACAAGTTGGAAATCGCTAATTCAACAATGATTGGTTTGGAAGAAATCAGTGGCTAACTGCAAGCGTTGCAAAGCAATCACTAGCCTGCTATTCAGCGGAGAGGGTGTGTGGTCCAAGTCTGTGTTTTAAGGGTCTCTTTTCCAAGCTTAAAAGGATAAACATTCACATGCAACGCCATGGGCCAGAAAATGTTAAATACATTGGCCATGCTGTCAATCCAGCATGACTTCTGCCACGTTCAAAACAACTGGAAACTCGGAACTGGGAAATCTCAGACATCAGTGAGTTCAAAACAACTGGGAACTCGGAAGAAAACGCGCTCCGACTGGGAAAATAAGTTTTGAACGGTCATCCAACTCGGAATTCCAAGTCGGGAACTCAGGCCTCTTTCTAGAGCTCCGACCTGAAGATCACTGACCTAATGATTCGGCCTTGTTTTCTTCCGAGTTCCCAGTTGTCTTGAAAGAACCATCAATCCAGAGAATGCCAGACTTTAATGACAAAATTTGCCCACAAGAAGGACCACTGTGCCACCGTCCTGTTCAAGTGAGCACAACAAGGTGAGTCCAAAAATGTCTTGTATGCTGCTGCATAAATTATGTAATATGCCAGGGAGATATGTATACTGTAGCTAAGAAAGTAATACTAAGTGTATGTTGTGTAGTAAGCTGTTAGTAGCCCATGTGCCTCACCCTAATAATTTGGTCCCGTTCCCCCTCATAACTTAGCCTACTGTTCTGACTCGGTGGTGCACATGTAGCCTATAGCCTGTTTTAGAGAAATGTCATCATAGAATATTGTAAGAGCTTTCATTGTCTGCTTATATGCCCCCTTTATTCATCCTACGGTTCTGACTTGGTGTACAGGGAGAACACTGTAAGAACGTTGTTCTGAATTCTGTCGCTGTACATTTCAAAAAGTGCTGAACAAATAGTTATATTGACTACGTCCGTCCTAGCTCGCTCATTAATGTCTTAATCGATATTACGGATTGCCTCTTATCCGCTCGTCGTCCCCTTATGCCATAGTTTGTACATCTCAATTGTCAGTAGAAACCACATTTGTTTAAGCAAGTCAGCCATATCAGCTATGTTTTTTTTAAGGCAGGGTCATATACACTACCGTTCAAAAGTTTGGGGTCACTTAGAAATGTCCTTGTTTTCGAAAGAAAAGCATTTTTTTGGTCCATTAAAATAACATCAAATTGATCAGAAATACAGTGTAGACATTGTTAATGTTGTAAATGGCTATTGTAGCTGGAAACGGCTGATTTTGAATGGAATATCTACATAGGTGTACAGAGGCCCATTATCAGCAACCATCAGTCCTGTGTTCCAATGGCACGTTGTGTTTGCTAATCCAAGTTTATCATTTTAAAAGTCTAATTGATCATTAGAAAACCCTTTTGCAATTATGTTAGCACAGCTGAAAACTGTTGTGCTGATTAAAGAAGCAATAAAACTGGCCTTCTTGAGACTAGTTGAGTATCTGGAGCATCAGCAATTGTGGGTTCGATTATAGGCTCAAAATGGCCAGAAACAAATAGCTTTCTTCTGAAACTCGTCAGTCTATTCTTGTTCTGAGAAATGAAGGCTATTCCATGCGAGAAATTGCCAAGAAATTGAAGTTGAAATTGAAGATCTCGTACAACTCTGTGTACTACTCCCTTCACAGAACAGCGCAAACTGGCTCTAACCAGAATAGAAAGAGGAGTGGGAGGCCTCGGTGCACAACTGAGCAAGAGGACAAATACATTAGAGTGTCTAGTTTGAGAAACAGACGCCTCACAGGTCCTCAACTGGCAGCTTTATTAAATAGTACCCGCAAAACACCAGTCTCAACGTCAACAGTGAAGAGGACCTTCTAGGCAGAGTTGCAAAGAAAAAGCCATAACTCAGACTGCCCATCTTAATCTTTTCTTTTTATTGGCCAGTCTGAGATATGGCTTTTTCTTTGCAACAAGGCTCCGCTGATTGCCAAGTGTAGCCCCTAACAGTTTGTGGGCACCGTTTGTCACCGTTATAGTGCAATTAATGTATTGTTTAGTGTTGTGTAGTGGCTTTGCTGGCATGCATCTAAAGACTTTTTTTTTTTTTTTGCCCTGCCAAGATGTACATGCTAAAATCACCACTGTCTACAGGAGACAGTAGTAAATAAAAGCATTGCCGTTATTAATCTAACAGACAGGGGGCAGTATAGTACTATGGTTCCCACCTAATGATCTTGTTGCAGGCTCCACAGAGAGGGGTCCTTCCACTGTCCTCGGGTGCCTGCTGAGCTGCCTGTAGAATAGAGGAGCGGTTCTGCATGGGCGTAGGCTGGGCCGGCTGTCTGTGCTGGGTCAGAACCGTACTGGTCTTGTCTGGGGCGTAACGTTCAGCGAACCCTGGGTCGGTCACCCACGGAGGACGCACCAAAGGACCAGAGTTAACTGGAGCTGTCGTCTTAGAGGCTGGGGACCCCAGAGAAATGTATTAATACAACAAATCAAACAGGGAGACTCATACAGTGGAGAAAAAAGTATTTAGTCAGCCACCAATTGTGCAAGTTCTCCCACTTAAAAAGATGAGAGAGGCCTGTAATTTTCATCATAGGTACATGTCAACTATGACAGACAAATTGAGATTTTTTTTCTCCAGAAAATCACATTGTAGGATTTTTTATGAATTTATTTGCAAATTATGGTGGAAAATAAGTATTTGGTCACCTACAAACAAGCAAGATTTCTGGCTCTCACAGACCTGTAACTTCTTCTTTAAGAGGCTCCTCTGTCCTCCACTCGTTACCTGTATTAATGACACCTGTTTGAACTTGTTATCAGTATAAAAGACACCTGTCCACAACCTCAAACAGTCACACTCCAAACTCCACTATGGCCAAGACCAAAGAGCTGTCAAAGGACACCAGAAACAAAATTGTAGACCTGCACCAGGCTGGGAAGACTGAATCTGCAATAGGTAAGCAGCTTGGTTTGAAGAAATCAACTGTGGGAGCAATTATTAGGAAATGGAAGACATACAAGACCACTGATAATCTCCCTCGATCTGGGGCTCCACGCAAGATCTCACCCCGTGGGGTCAAAATGATCACAAGAACGGTGAGCAAAAATCCCAGAACCACAAGGGGGGACCTAGTGAATGACCTGCAGAGAGCTGGGACCAAAGTAACAAAGCCTACCATCAGTAACACACTACGCCGCCAGGGACTCAAATCCTGCAGTGCGAGACGTGTCCCCCTGCTTAAGCCAGTACATGTCCAGGCCCGTCTGAAGTTTGCTAGAGTGCATTTGGAGGATCCAGAAGAGGATTGGGAGAATGTCATATGGTCAGATGAAACCAAAATAGAACTTTTTGGTAAAAACTAAACTCGTCGTGTTTGGAGGACAAAGAATGCTGAGTTGCATCCAAAGAACACCATACCTACTGTGAAGCATGGGGGTGGAAACATCATGCTTTGGGGCTGTTTTTCTGCAAAGGGACCAGGACGACTGATCCTTGTAAAGGAAAGAATGAATGGGGCCATGTATCGTGAGATTTTGAGTGAAAACCTCCTTCCATCACCAAGGGCATTGAAGATGAAACGTGGCTGGGTCTTTCAGCATGACAATGATCCCAAACACACCGCCCGGGCAACGAAGGAGTGGCTTCGTAAGAAGCATTTCAAGGTCCTGGAGTGGCTTAGCCAGTCTCCAGATCTCAACCCCATAGAAAATCTTTGGAGGGAGTTGAAAGTCCGTGTTGCCCAGCGACAGCCCCAAAACATCACTGCTCTAAAGGAGATCTGCATGGAGGAATGGGTCAAAATACCAGCAAAAGTGTGTGAAAACCTTGTGAAGACTTACAGAAAACGTTTGACCTGTGTCATTGCCAACAAAGGGTACATAACAAAGTATTGAGAAACTTTTGTTATTGACCAAATACTTATTTTCCACCATAATTTGCAAATAAATTCATTAAAAATCCTACAATGTCATTTTCTGGAGAAAAAAAATCTCATTTTGTCTGTCATAGTTGACGTGTACCTATGATGAAAATTACAGGCCTCTCTCATCTTTTTAAGTGGGAGAACTTGCACAATTGGTGGCTGACTAAATACTTTTTTCCCCCACTGTATAGTATCTTATAAAGAACCATGGGATTGTATGGATGCTTATAGCACGTGTTACAATGTATTACTATGTTTACAGAATGTTACAATGTATTACTATGTTTACAGAATGTTACAATGTATTACTATGTTTACAGAATGTTACAATGTATTACTATGTTTACAGAATGTTACAATGTATTACTATGTTTACAGAATGTTACAATGTATTACTATGTTTACAGAATGTTACAATGTATTACTATGTTTACAGAATGTTACAATGTACTACTATGCTTATAGCATGTGCTATAATGCGTATGTCAATGCTTATTGCATGTTCTAACGCATCTAACTAACTAATAAATAAAGGCTTGGATTTGTTTACGTTATATATTTCCAGCATCCCTGTCGTTTGAACTCTGAACTGCAGTAACTCACCATCAGGTTTGTCCGCTGCCTGGGTCTGGGCCTGAGCAGGTGACGCAGAGGCCTTGACGCTGTAGAGAAACACACACTTCCTTAGAAACAGGTGCTATAGGGTTACCATGGTGACTCAAGGCAGCAGTAGCTGACATCATCATGGAGGGAGTTCTGTGTGCATTTAAAAAAAATGGAAGGAGCGTAATATGGAAAAATCATTGAGAGGATTGCTCCCTAATCTCTCTGTGACTATCCCACTACATACAGATAGTGAAGGTCATAGAAAGTGGACTGGGAATTGTTATGCGATAAGTCACATTCCTCCAAAAAGCACCATGACTGAAGTCTGTAGAGCAGGAGTCGGCAACAGGCCACAAAGTGTCTCAATGTAATTAAGGTATGGAATGATTGTTATTTTCAAATACAAATCTTTTTTTGGGGGGGCTTAGTTGTGGCCAGGTCGCAGTTGTAAATGAGAACTTGTTCTCAACTGGCTTACCTGGTTAAATAAAAGGTGAAATAAAATTAGCAAATTATTATAATTATTATAATTATGTTCCAGCCCCAAAAATCGGCACGCGGCTGAATCAAGTTGCCTACCCCTTCTGTAGAGTTAGTAACAAGGGTCTCAGTTACAGGTGTCTACAGCCATCTCTGGATACAAATACCATCGCATTACTACATCTACATAAAAAAATAACTTGTAACGGCAGAGAGAACTCAAGTAAACTCAGCAAAAAAAAGGAAGCGTCCTCTCACTGTCAACTGCGTTTATTTTCAGCTAACTTAACGTGTAAATATTTGTATGAACATAACAAGATTCAACAACTGAGACAAACTGAACAAGTTCCACAGACATGTGATGAACAGAAATTGAATAATGTGTCCCTGAACAAAAGTAACAGTCAATATCTGGTGTGGCCACCAGCTGCATTAAGTACTGCAGTGCATCTCCTCCTCATGGACTGCACCAGATTTGCCAGTTCTTGCTGTGAGATGTTACCCCACTCTTCCACCAAGGCACCTGCAAGTTCCCAGACATTTCTGGGGGGAATGGCCCTAGCCCTCACCCTCTGATCCAACAGGTCCCAGATGTGCTCAATGGGATTGAGATCCGGGCTCTTCGCTGGCCATGGCAGAACACTGACATTCCTGTCTTGCAGGAAATCACGCACAGAACGAGCAGTATGGCTGGTGGCATTGTCATGCTGGAGGGTCATGTCAGGATGAGCCTGCAGGAAGGGTACCACATGAGGGAGGAGGATGTTTTCCCTGTAACGCACAGCGTTGAGATTACCTGCAATGACAACAAGCTCAGTCCGATGATGCTGTGACACACCGCCCCACACCATGACGGACCCTCCACCTCTAAATCGATCCCGCTCCAGACTACAGGCCTCGGTGTAACGCTCATTCCTTCAACGATAAACGCAAATCTGACCATCACCCCTGGTGAGACAAAACCTCGACTCGTCAGCGAAGAGCACTTTTTGCCAGTCCTGTCTGGTCCAGCGACGGTGGGTTTCTGCCCATAGGCGACGTTGTTGCCGGTGATGTCTGGTGAGGACCTGCCTTACAATAGGCCTACAAGCCCTCAGTCCAGCCTCTCTCAGCCTATTGCGGACAGTCTGAGCACTGATGGAGGGATTGTGCGTTCCTGGTGTAACTCGGGCAGTTGTTGTTGCCATCCTGTACCTGTCCCGCAGGTGTGATGTTTGGATGTACCAATCCTGTGCAGGTGTTGTTACACGTGGTCTGCCACTGCGAGGACGATCAGCTGTCCGTCCTGTCTCCCTGTAGCGCTGTTTTAGGCGTCTCACAGTACGGACATTGCAATTTATTGCCCTGGCCACATCTGCAGTCCTCATGCCTCCTTGCAGCATGCCTAAGGCACGTTCACGCAGATGAGCAGGGACCCTGGGCATCTTTCTTTTGGTGTTTTTCAATCAGTAGAAAGGCCTCTTTAGTGTCCTACGTTTTCATAACTGTGACCTTAATTGTCTACCGCCTGTAAGCTGTTAGTGTCTTAACGACCGTTCCACAGGTGCATGTTCATTAATTGTTTATGGTTCATTGAACAAGCATTGGAAACAGTGTTTAAACCCTTTACAATGAAGATCTGTGAAGTTATTTGGATTTTTACGAATTATCTTTGAAAGACAGGGTCCTGAAAAAGGGACGTTTCTTTTTTTGCTGAGTTTATTTTACAGAGGTCAGATAGTAGAATTAGTAGTAGCGAACCCCAGGTTAAGTGTTTCATCATTTCCATATTACAGTCCTTAAAAGTCCTTAAAACTCGTTTTTCAACCACTCCACAAATTTCTTGTTAACAAACTATCATTTTGGCAAGTCGGTTAGGACATCTACTTTGTGCATGACAAGTAATTTTTCCAACAATTGTTTACAGACAGATTATTTCACTTATGATTCACTGCATCACAATTCCAGTGGGTCAGAAGTTTACATACACTAAGTTGACTGTGCCTTTAAGCAGCTTGGAAAATTCCAGAAAATGATGTCATGGCTTTAGAAGCTTCCGATAGGCTAGTTGACATCATTTGAGTCAATTGGAGGTGTACCTGTGGATGTATTTCAAGGCCTACCTTCAAACTCAGTGCCTCTTTGCTTGACATCATGGGAAAATCAAAAGAAATCAGCCAAGACCTCAGAAAAATGATTGTAGACCGCCACAAGTCTGGTTCATTCTTGGGAGCAATTTCCAAACGCCTGAAGGTACCACGTTCATCTGTACAATAGTATGCAAGTATAAACACCATGGGACCACGCAGCCGTCATTCCGCTCAGGAAGGAGATGCGTTCTATCTCCTAGAGATAAACGTACTTTGGTGCAAAAGGTGCAAATCAATCCCAGAACAACAACAAAGGACCTTGTGAAGATGCTGGAGGAAACAGGTACAAAAGTATCTATATCCTCAGTAAAACGAGTCCTATATTGACATAACCTGAAAGGCTGCTCTGCAAGGAAGAAGCCACTGCTTCAAAACCGCCATAAAAAAGCCAGACTACGGTTTGCAACTGCACATGGGGACAAAGATCGTACTTTTTGGAGAAATGTACTCTGGTCTGATGAAACAAAAATAGAAGTGTTTGGCCATAATGACCATCGTTATGTTTGGAGGAAAAAGGGGGGGGCTTGCAAGCCGAAGAACACCATCCCAACCGTGAAGCACGGGGGTGGCAGCATCATGCTGTGGGGGTGCTTTTCTGCAGGAGGGACTGGTGCACTTCACAAAATAGATGGCATCATGAGGAAGGAAAATTATGTGGATATATTGAAGCAACATCAAGACATCAGTCAGGAAGTTAAAGCTTGTTCGCAAATGGGTCTTCCAAATGGACAATGACCCCAAGCATACTTCCAAAGTTGTGGCAAAATGGCTTAAGGACAACAAAGTCAAGGTATTGGAGTGGCCATTACAAAGCCCTGACCTCAATCCTATAGAACATTTGTGGGCAGAACTGAAAAAGCGTGTGCGAGCAAGGAGGCCTACAAACCTGACTCAGTTACACCAGCTCTGTCAGGAGGAATGGGCCAGAATTCACCCAACTTATTGTGGGAAGCTTGTGGAAGGCTACCCGAAACGTTTGACCCAAGTTAAACAATTTAAAGGCAATGCTACCAAATACAAATTGAGTGTATGTAAACTTCTGACCCACTGGGAATGTGATGAAAGAAATAAAAGCTGAAAGAAATCATTCTCTCTACTATTATTCTGACATTTCACATTCTTAAAATAAAGTGGTGATCCTAACTGACCTAAGACAGGGAATTCTTACTAGGATTAAATGTCAGGAATTGTGGGAAACTGAGTTTAAATGTATTTGGCTAAGGTGTTATGTAAACTTCCGACTTCAACTGTACACACAGATGGCTTCAAAATGATCAGTGTTCGGACTTCCATGTACCATGATAAGATGCAGACTTCTGTACAGCCGGTTATCGGAGTGCCGCCTACCATTTATTCATGTTCTATCTGTTTTTCCAAAAGTGCCACCTATAGAAATCTAAAAAACAAATGCTGCAAATGCACTTTGACACGCAATGGTAGTCTAGAATCACCTAGATGATCTACTGCTCCGTATCACCTAGATGATCTACTGCTCCATATCACATAGATGATCTACTGCTCCGTATCACCTAGATGATCTACTGCTCCGTATCACCTAGATGATCTACTGCTCCATATCACCTAGATGATCTACTGCTCCGTATCACTAGAGATACTGCTCCGTATCACCTAGATGATTACTGCTCCGTATCACCTAGATGACAGCTGCCCGTATCACATAGATGATCTATGCTCCGTATCACCTAGATGATCTATGCTCCGTATCACCTAGATGATCACTGCTCCGTATCACCTAGATGATCTACGCCCATATCACCTAGATGATCTACTGTCGTATCACTAGATGATCTACGCTCCGTATCACATAGATGATCTACTGCTCGTATCACATAGATGATCTACTGCTCCGTATCACCTAGATGATCTACTGCTCCATATCACCTGTGATCTACTGCTCCATATCACCTAGATGATCTATGCTCCATATCACTATGATCTAATGCTCCGTATCACCTAGATGATCTATGCTCGTATCACTAGATGATCTACTGCTCCATATCACCTAGATGATCTACTGCTCCTATCACCTAGATGATCTACTGCTCCGTATCACTAGATGATCTACTGCTCCCATAATCACATAGATGATCGACTACGCTCCGTATCACCTAGATGATCTACTGCTCCGTATCACCTAGATGATCTACTGCTCCGTATCACCTAGATGATCTACTGCTCCATATCACATAGATGATCTACTGCTCCGTATCACCTAGATGATCTACTGCTCCATATCACCTAGATGATCTACTGCTCCGTATCACCTAGATGATCTACTGCTCCGTATCACCTAGATGATCTACTGCTCCGTATCACCTAGATGATCTACTGCTCCGTATCACATAGATGATCTACTGCTCCGTATCACCTAGATGATCTACTGCTCCGTATCACCTAGATGATCTACTGCTCCGTATCACCTAGA